GAATGAGTATTACATAATTGACTTGATATAGGGTTTGAATATCATGTGCATATTTTTCTATGACAAACAACCTATAGTGTACTCCCTTTTCAATAACAAAATTTTGTCTCGTAATTACATGCGGAGTATCACTTAATTAAATAACAAAATTTTTGAAACATCTAAACATATAAAGTTTACAAAAAATTAAGTTCGAATGTATCTTAATTAACGAGACAAAAGAAATACAACCTCCATGACTCCATCCCACTTTGATTGTTCAAACAATATGCTCATATTTCTAAATCGAGGACAATTCTTTTAAGTTCAAATATAGTTATGCATCTATCATTCTCATATGTACTTTTTATGGACTAATGCCACCTTTTATTCATACATATTTTATTTTTCCTTAAATGCGTATCAAACTGATGAAAATGCATATTATATTATGAGACTTGCCATTTCTTTTCAACTAGGACATAAAAACAATGTCGCACGAATAATTAATCAATCCAATGAATCCATAGCTATAACAAATTCTTTTATAATAATATATTCGCAATCAAGTTTATAATACTTTTCTATACGTTCAAGTTCTTTTCATAAATTATTGTAAATTGCACAAGTATTAGGTTTACTCTATTATTATTAATCTCTTAGTTGGAGGAGACTATGTTTGTGACATGTCTGGAACGCACACAGAAAATGGAGTGGATGAATCAGCAATGAGCTGTGAACGTGGCTTCCAAAATAAAAATAAAAAAGCAGTGGACCCCGGAAATGGTGAAGTGGGGCCCATGATGATGACACTACACCGTCCTTCCTTATCCTTTAACCTGCACTCCCCTGCTCACAGATATATTCAAATTCGAGAAAACAATAACGGGCAGAATCGTTGCTTTTTTAAGCTCGTTGGGCGTCTTTTTCAACTTCTTATTCGGGGTTTGTCAAAGTTAAAAGCAACATTTTCAAGAGGGGCTAAATGAAAAAAAAAAAGATGACACCCCATCCCTGAGGGTCTCTATTACCGATCGGACGGTACGATGAGAGGATGTAAATTGGACTATAATCACAATCTGAATTTTTACCATAGAGAGTGGGGCTCCGTCCCCGGTACTTGCAGAGGCTCTATGCATTTTTAGCATAGTAACCTCTCATCGCAGTTGCCGGGATTCAAACCCGGGACCTAACTCTTGTAGCACTCCCTCGCTACCAGTTGAGCTACGCCCACCGGTTCAAAAGAAGCAAAATAGCTATATAGACGGAATATTTTAACCCTAATTTGGTCAATTTCATTTTGAATTGATATTTAATTTTGTGTGCAAAATATAAAATGTTACCCTCACCAGTCCACAAGATTGAGACAAAAAGGAGTAGTTCAATTTTTAAGAAAAATGAAATCATATGTTTAATATTAAATTGATAAAATATGAATAAAGTAAGAATGAATTGTACTCTTAAAAAAATAAGAATGAATTGTAACTACTCAAGTTTTACTATGTACTTCTATTAGACAAATTTCCCGGGACAAATAAAAAAGGTAAAAGAAGACAGAGTTATAGAGACATGGAGCTACTATCGTATTACTCCGTATTTAGTAAAACAGTGGTTAGTATGAAAAATGCGGATGTCTACATTTACTGGTAAAAAAACTTTTAGTTTTGGATTGTTCTCATCTAATATATTTATGTTTGGCCTAAATTAATTTAAAAAATATCGTTCATGTATATATTATTATAATCCTCTAAATTTATTTAAATTGATGTGAATGTGTGGTCTATCAAAATCATATAACATAATAGGATTGTTGGATAAGGATCCTCTGTTGTACGGCATAGTGTCTTGCGGCATCGAACGGCAGGAGAGCGATGAGGACGGTCTCGATATCGGTGAAAGAATGAATTCCATGATATCTAACCCTTGAATTTTTTATTGGACGATTGTGAAGAGATAAGACACCCTACATTGCTCAAAGCAAGGCAGAAACTCCGAATCCAGCCGGAGTTCGAAATCAGTCAAATTAAGAAGCCGTTTGACAACACTGTTTTTGGCTTATTAGACTTATCAACCAACTTTTTCACCAAACACGTAACTTATGTTTTCGCGCGCTGAATTGTGTAATAAGCAGAAAAGTAAGGTTCAAGTTAATTTTCTGGTTGTATTGGCTGAAGTTATGACCATTTTAGCTATTTTTACATACGGAGTATAATTTTTTCTACATTTTATACCTGTATATTTTAAAAATAATTTTTTCTTAAATCACCAGAATCAGCCAATGCAGTCACTTCAGGCAGAACTTCACAAGTTTCAGGAGAATCAACCAAATCAGCCAATTTTCATGCTACCAAACGGATTCAAAATCATCTGAAGTTGTCAAAAGTTACCACATGGACGCTAAGCTTTGTTGCCATATACTATAGTATTTCTCTTCATTTTCTTGATTTTCTGTCCGTTGCAATAATGACTTGTGGCATTTGGGTACATTTTCACGTGGAGAAAGCGTATATGAGACCGTTTGAAAGTGTTTTTCTATGAGCTTATTATTAACATATGAGCTGGATCGTTTTTTATACACAGAAACGACAATTTTGGGCACGAGAAATGACGAATCATATTTTGTTTATTAGCAAGAGGTCTGAACAAATCAAGATCATATAGTAAGAATCCAAATTGATATCGAACTAAGATATTGATTCTGTGTTCGCCATATCATATTTTATAAAATTTAACCAATAAAAATTGAACTGAGCAATCGGAAATTACAAGGTAAAACAAACAAACAAACACTCACAATCAAATGAAGGGCCTTTTGGTGTATGTTTTGTATTATACGAAGTATACGTTTTTTGTCACTTAAAAATCATTTGAGTCAAAATGTATAGTAAACAATAGGGTTGGGACCGGTTTTTACTCAAAATGAGTGGAACCGTTATAAAAGTTTTAACTAATGAAATCGGTTCGGTTCCTATATAAAAAAATCAAGAACCGTTAAGGAATCGAACCGGTAGTAAATGGTTCGGTTCTTCCTCTTACCGGTTCCTAGAATAATTTTTTCTCACTAACAATTAACACATAATTTACTTTCTACAAACAACATAAAAACGTTGAAAATATAAAACACAAGTATTAAAATTTTATTTGAAGCTCTAATCACTTCAAACATCAAAGCTCAAACTTAATTAATGAATTGTGAACACCTAATAGAACAAAAGATGATTTAAATTTTCATGTAATAAATAAAACATAAAAATCATAGTAGTGTGCGAGCGATGAAAGTTACTCGTCATCATAGTAGAAAGAATATGACGCCTACTTCAAGTCTTTCAAAACATAAAAAATACATTGATTTTGCATTGTAGAGTGGGAGCGATGAAGGATACTCGTCATCATAGTAGCAAGAATAGGACGTCTACTTCAAGTATTTCAAAACATAAAAAAATACATTGAGTTCACATGTATAGATGTAAAAAAACATCGTTACATTCTATTGATTCATAATAAATCTAATAATTAGAAATATCATGAAAATAGTAAAGTAAAATATGTGCAATCAACTACAAGTTATTTGAGTTATTTTGTATTTATAAAATTTATGTGATGGAACAAAAATTGATTTGTAGAAAGGAGTTTAATGTATTATATCAACCTCATGTACAATATTTATTACTTCATTTTCGTTGATTAAGTCAGAATTGTTAGTTAAATATCTTATATTGTTTTATTATTATTGTTGTGGTGGTGGTTATTATTGCTATTATATTATTATTGTTGTTGTTGTTATTGTTGTTACTACTACTACTAATATTTTTTATTTTTTTTATTTTTTTAATAACGGTTCCTTAACGGTTCTATGCACATATTTTTTATAGCAACCAGGAACCGAACCGTTATAACTCGCTTCGGTTTGGTTCCTACAAATGAGGCATTAATTGTTAGTGGGTCGGTTTCTAGATGTTCTTAACGGTTCGGTTCCAATCGGTTCTACGGTTCCCGGTTCCAAAATCCCACCCCTAATAAACAATTCAAGTTCCTATCAAATTTGAGAAAAATGTTAATATTTCGTGCGTTAAAAATTCTATAAAGAAATTTATCAGATTTTTTGAAAGAAAAATATCAGATTTATCATGTTGATACATCCTAATAATTTTTGGGAGAATAGGATACACTTCAACATTTTCAAAAAAAAAAAAAAAACAGGATACATTAGAACTTGTATCCTTTTATCCTTCTTAAAACTTGTGCCAAAGGTTATACTTCCATCTATTAGAAAACGGAGGGAGTATTATAAAAAGTTAATATTTTGAAATTTTATATTAGTAAAAATTTACGAGTAGTACAGAGTAATATTTTATACATAAATTTGATATATTACGGAGTAGTATACTCCCTCCGCATTTAAATGTTCACTACACTAGTTTTGGGCACAATATTTTAGGATAAAAAAGCAGGGGTAATGAATAGTGTAACAAAAGTAGGAGAAAAGGTGTAAAAGTATGAAAGAAAAGATAAAAAGTAAATAAAGTAAGGGTAGTTGAGTATTTTATAAATGGTAAACTTACCCAAAATAGAAATGTAGGAATTTTTTAAATAAATCACAAAAAAAAGTGTAGAGATCTTTTAAATACGAAGTGAGTATTAAAGAAAGGGAGGAAGTATGCTATCTAATTTCAATGATATATTAATTCTAAAACTAAAAATTATGTATATGCGTTTAATTATTCAATTAAGCTTGAGGTACATACCGTTTAATTATCTAATTATTCAATTGAAAATACTGTTATGTCGAACACAAAAAACCCTACACAAACATGTGTACTAGCGTGTATGAAAAATGTGTAACAAAACATTTTTGACGGTAGTTGTTTTTTGTTCCTATTTTATCCACCAAACTCACTAAAATTGGCAAGGACCTAAACGTTTCTGGGACACTATTAGAAATGGTTTTTGCCTAAACAAACGATTTAACAGATTATTATCTCAAATTGCATGAGCTTTGGCCAGCTGTGCCATCCTGCTTAATCTGTACGTACATTAGTGTATATACGAAGTATATATATACACACTCCAATATACAGAAACAGGCTCTGCCACTAACAAAACGCTTTGTGCTCTGTTTCTGTAAAAAGCTGAGTTTAGAGAGAGCTTAGAGAGAGAGAGGGGAAATGGAGGGGAAAGAGGAGGATGTGAAGCTAGGAGCGAACAAGTTCTCAGAGAGGATGCCGCTGGGAACCTCGGCGCAGGGTAAGGACTACAAGGAGGCGCCGCCGGCGCCGCTGTTCGAGCCGGGGGAGCTCCACTCCTGGTCGTTCTGGAGGGCCGGAATTGCAGAGTTCATCGCCACCTTCCTGTTCCTCTACATCACCGTCCTGACTGTCATGGGGTACTCCAGATCTAGCAGCAAGTGCAACAGCGTCGGCGTTCAGGGAATTGCTTGGGCCTTCGGTGGTATGATCTTTGCCCTCGTTTACTGCACCGCTGGAATCTCAGGTACCTCTCTTCCTCTCCCCCACCATGTTTATGAACTGTGGTTTTTTGTGTTGTATACATTTTCAGATCTATGGAAGAATGCTTCTGTACATATATAATGATATCTGGTAGTTTATTTTTTGAAATCTGAAAGTATGTACTCCCCTTTCCCATAATTAAGTTTCAGTTTATGTGACTGATGATATACTCATATTATCATTAATAAATAGAATTTACATATTACTACTGTGAGTAATGATCCCGTCCATCCGGATGGACCGAAAGTGACGTCCAGCCGAGGTCATTAGAGGGCCTTCCCGGTGTAATTTTTTGATCACGTTCATTATCTAAGTCTAGTTTATCCACACAAAAAAATTTTGTGGAACAAATTTTTCGATCCGGAAGGCAGCCAAATAAATTGTGGAACAAAACTGTGATGTCTATATATATATATAAAGCACATTTATCTTCAAAAATAAATTGTGGAACAAAACCCTGAACATTAGTTCATTTGAAATGTTTCCATTTTCTCTTTTGATAGCACACACTTTTGACCAGTGATATATTTCATATCTTATTTGTAAAAAAATCAGATTTAAAAGTACTTTTCGATAATCAAATTTCTAATAAATTAGTAAATACAATGTAGTCAAAGTTGAACGTGTGAATATCATAAAATTCAATGTCTACTTTAGAATGGAGGTAATAATACACAATTTTTATGATAAAAATTTTAATACATTACTCCATAAAAATAAGGTTGAAGTAAAAATGGTACTACATACTCCGCATTACTTATATAAATATAAAACCTAGAATTTTACCAGGGCTACACTGCGACTGAAAGTCTAGTATGGTTTGTTGTATAGTTTCTACAGCCTAACGTAAAATATTAATATGAAATATACACTTGATACATAACCCCTCACAATAGGAACCTTTTATAGGAGTCAGAAATAACATGTGTTGTAAAACATTTCAATTCCTGGCTCAATCCTATAATTTGTAATCTTTTTTGGTATGGGTTTAAAACAGGTGGACACATAAACCCAGCAGTGACATTTGGGTTGTTTCTGGCAAGAAAACTGTCTTTGACAAGGGCAGTATTCTACATTGTGATGCAATGCCTTGGAGCAATATGTGGAGCAGGAGTTGTGAAGGGGTTCCAGCCATCACTCTTTGAAGTAAAGGGTGGAGGCGCGAATGTAGTGGCCCATGGTTACAGCAAGGGGGATGGCCTTGGTGCCGAAATAGTCGGCACCTTCGTCCTCGTATACACCGTCTTCTCTGCCACAGATGCCAAGAGAAATGCCCGTGACTCTCACGTCCCTGTAAGTATTAGAATGCACTAGTCTCATAGAGAATGCAAGACAAGCCTAAACATCACTATGGTCACTGCAGTGATATACATAAGTACCAACATAGGCATTATATATTGAATGCCATGTTGTGTTGAATGTTTTTACTTAGATTGCTTTCTTTCCCAGAGCAAACTTAAACAAACCAAACCAGACTTAAACATACCAGATCAGACTAAACTTTCATAGTTATAAAATACATAGAGACCAGACCAGACTTAAACAGACTAGACCCGTTAATTTCAGTACAAGTAAAAACATCCTAATACACAAGAAGTCATATTCGTGATATGTGTTTAGTATTGGAACAAAATAAACAAATCCCTCACTAAATATTGAGCTAGGCACCTTAATCAATTGTGCAACAACCATTGCAGATATTGGCTCCTCTTCCAATTGGATTCGCAGTTTTCTTGGTTCACTTGGCCACCATCCCCATCACTGGAACTGGCATCAATCCTGCCCGCAGTCTTGGTGCTGCCATTATCTACAACAAGGATCATGCTTGGGATGACCATGTGAGTTATTTATTTTGTTTCTGTAAATGATTATTAAGATTTCCATGTCTGGGAATCACAGTTATTGCTCATTTTGTTCTTCAAAGCTGATGAATGTATGTTTTGTGTGTTGTTTGCAGTGGATATTCTGGGTCGGACCTTTCATCGGAGCTGCTCTTGCCGCACTGTACCACCAAGTTGTGATCAGAGCCATCCCATTCAAGAGTGGAAGCTAAAGACTCTTCTTCCCCTATCGTCATTGTGATCAGAGCCATCCCAATTAATTTCTGTGCTGTTGAAACTATCCTTGTGTGCGGATATTGTTAATTAATTAATTGATTCAAAGATGCGCATTGTGTGAAAACAAAATTGCTCTGTAATTATTGGTACCATGAGTAACTTTATTGATTTTGTGATTGGCTTATATCTGTATTAGGTTGTTAATACTCGTACCCATCTTGGTAAGCTGAAGGTTATTTTTCTTGAGTACTTGAATATGTGATTTGTAATGGAAAAATTCTTGAAATAAGAGTACTATTCAATAAGATTAATGAATATGTTAATACTCTAATATTATTTTTATTCTGTAGAAATTGTCCAATATAGGAATAAACATAAACATAATTGCAAAAGAGTAAAACTACAAACTTCCCTCTCTCTGCCCTTAAAAACTTCCCTAAATAAATTTCCATTTCGCTTTTCGAGGGTCAAGTTAAATTCTTACTTTATATATCAAAATTTTATAAAAAAGTGAATTTTTTTTGCAGGCTTTGTAGCGGGTTTGATGTAATTTCTGAATATGTAAATTTTATTTTCTAAAAATAATCCGAGTTTTCACAGGGATCATTTAACTTTATCGCTAGTCAAACTTCGTAACCCGCAATTGGAAGTTTAATATGGGACGAAGGTAGTATCTTATGTAAAGTCATCATTTTATTTGAATATGTCATAAAAATGGCATTTTTAGGGTTTACTTTTCGAAAACGTCAAATTTTCTCTAAAACTATCATCAAGATGACATTTTTGACAAATGTTGACATTTTTTCAGTGATCGGAGCTAGTGGTGCTGGAAGATTGTTGAGGCGGCGGCCTACATATTTTTATTATATGTATTTTTTAATTTTTTAGTTTTTATTTAATATTTTTTATTTAATACTAGTAGTTTTTTATTTTTATTAAATTTATATAATACGGAGTATATTTTATTTAATATGTATTTTCATGATTTTTTATTTCTTTACAATTTTATTATAAATTAATTAATGTTATTTCTTTTATCTTTTAATTATTAATGAAAGTGGTTGTGGCTTGGGTAGGGGTGATTTTTTTTCTAAATCTAAAGTTACTCCTATTTAGAACATGGTACTCATATTTTTGTATTTTGCTTATGTTTTACTCATATTTAGAGAATTCACTCTTTATTTTATAAATATGAGTAATTATTGCTGAGTTTGAAAGATACTATTATATTTAAAGTTTGGTAGTATTAATATATGACAATAAATTCATAGTTATGAAATAAAAACATGAAATCTTATTTCAAAATCACAAACATTTTTACTCCTTTTTAGGAAAATTATTATGAAATGATGTCAAAAATAAGACTACGAAAATCTTTTCTATGACCAGCCCATTTGTCCCTTAATATCTTTGACAAAGTATCCCTGAGCAAATTGAGCTGTTTAAGATACAAGTCAACCTATCTATAATAATAATATAAAGTAACAAGGTGTGTCACCTTGTTTTTCCCTCCAATAACACATTTAGTGATTTATGCTCATTAAACAATATAATAATAGTAATAATAATAGTAATAATAATATAATAATAGTAATAATAATATAATAATAGTAATAATAATATAATAATAGTAATAATAATAGTAATAATAATATAATAATAGTAATATACTCTGTATAATATATAATTGGCAGGATTTCATTTAACGCATATTAGAATGTTTATGATATTTTGATTGGAATGTTTTCAATTATAAGCTAGACCAAACAAGATTAAATAAAATAGACTAAACTAAATCAAATTTAAATAGGCTCGATCAAATCAGAGTCACTAAACTAAAATAATGACACATTTACTATATTATTAAATCAGAGTCAGTATAGATATGTTTAACTTTGTACTATATAAGTCATCATAGTCATATAAAATTTAGTCATATTTTTGTCCATGAGTTTTATTCATGTAATATTATTAACAAAATCTTCTATTTATGGAGTGTGACGGTAAGGAGGCACATCATAGTATCATGTCTTTTTCTTCAATAGAAATTGAATCTTTTGCTATATACCAGTAGTAATTCTTCAGAATTTGAAAGCAACAATGAATAGTTTGAGTATGATACTGATTCATTCCGTAATTCTTTCTTTTCCCTTTATCAAACTAAATGGCCACGTGGAAACAACTTCATACATGATTGATTGTCATCAAGCAGATTCAACAGTACATTAGATGATTGACTAAAGATGGGGTCTTCACCTTCCTAGGCATGTAATTATTTAGTTTATTTTCCAGTCTCGATGGAAAATGATATGATAAATATACACCTTTAAAGAGTCATTTTTTCCACTGATATCAAGAAAATGTAATACTCCTTTCATAATATTATTGGGTGTTTGATAATGTGAATTTTTTTATTTTTCAAAGCTGTAGTATCAATAACGTTATTGGTTATTGGATGTTTACATAAGTTTGATCAGTATTAGTTTTAGCATTCTTCAATTGCTTAGATCTTCTGTAAATATATTCTATAAACATAAATACATAACAAAATATTTATATCTAATCACAAATGTTTTTGTTAGTATGAAATGATCCCAAATTTGTCGAACTAATTTTATGATTCAACATACTAATTTTTTAGAAATGATAATCCGAGTTGGTCAACCTATTCGTTAGATTCTCACTATCATTTAAATGAATAGTTAAACATATAGCGTGCGCATCCCGTGCAACACACAGGTTAAAAATCTAGTTTTAGATAAAAGTCCGAGCTTCATCTCAGATATGCTTCACAATTGAAATCAACAATATCAAAATCGGAGCAGTTTCCTCGATCCGCAATCCCCACAATCCTTAACTTTCTTTATGCAATTCCCCCACCTTGTTTCACCTTTTTTTTAGTTTTCGAACAATCTCTGTTATGAAAATATTTTATGTTTAACATTATTTTGTCAAAAAAAATTCTAGATCAAGGATATATTAAATGCACAGTTAGTTGCTATTTAACAAAAAAGTATCAAGAAAAATAATTAATAATTATCACTTTGTTGTGTTCATTTTATAACATTACACCAACTTTTTGAATACCTATCTGAAATCCATGTTATGTTAATATATAATATCATTCTAATGCACAACTATTTGAACCTTATGACTATTGGAACATAATTATTAGTTCACTTATTTTATTACTTTAATGTTACATATTTTAGTATGTACATATGTGTACTACGTATAGATAGAACTTCACATGGATAGCTACTAAGTACGCATACACCCTATTCTCATGGGTTGTTAGTCGGCCTATTCGGATCTGTAGAGATAGATGATATTTATCAGTTTGTAACTCATGTGTATATATTCACATGCATGTACGAGTAATGAATAATACAATACATTCATAATTCTTCATGGTATCTTCATGGTAATGAATAATTCTTTGTTCGTGAATTAGTGGAACAGGGTCATCTTCAAGTACAACATATATATACTAAACTCCAGATTGCAGATATTTTGACCAAACCGCTTGGCCGTAGTCTATTTGAACAGTTTCGAACCAAGCTGGGCGTCTCAAATGGAGACTCCATCTTGCGGGGGCGTATTGGAACATAATTATTAGTTCACTTATTTTATTACTTTAATGTTACATATTTTAGTATGTACATATGTGTACTACGTATAGATAGAACTTCACATGGATAGCTACTAAGTACGTATACACCCTATTCTCATGGGTTGTTAGTCGGCCTATTCGGATCTGTAGAGATAGATGATATTTATCAGTTTGTAACTCATGTGTATATATTCACATGCATGTACGAGTAATGAATAATACAATACATTCATAATTCTTCAATGACCCTAAGCATAATATGAAACTCATTTCTATAAATAATAAACCTAATATATTTGTTACAAATTATACATTAACTTATTCGTTTAAGTGTATTCATTAGTGTGAAAGCATTAGAATTACTTCTGCACTTTCACCCAAACACTTCAACTTATGCTTCTGCTCCCTGAAGGAGCAGAATCAGTTTTAAGAATCAGATCCAAACACCCCCAAACTCTCCTAGTCTACCCTTGAGCCACCCCAACTCTATCATCTCTAGGAAGAGTTATGCTTCTCTACCTTGCGAGTAGAGAGCCTCTCAGCTTTACAACGAAGGTCTCACACCACATTAACCAACCCGAGGACGGTACACTTAGTCAATCCTCAAAACCCCATTACAATATGAAGAAGGGAAAGTAAAATTATATCTAGAACTCTGAGTGAGCAGTTGCATATGCCTTGGACTTCAATATTGCTTTTGTGAATAGATCCCTTAATTTTTCTCGGTGGCACACTTTCTTCTTCTTGAACTCGGCACATATAAGAACAAGTCCATTGATGCATCTTTCCTTGGATGGACAAGTTACCAAACGTGGAGCTTGCCTTGTTATCATTCATTCATTTGAATTTCCTTCCTTTTTTAGTGCCATAGACTCGTATATATGGAGCATATATCAAAAGATGTTACCACAAGAATAAATATCCGCATAGATATTGAGAAAGATAATTTATTCACTTAACATGCATAATAAGCTAGCAACAGATCATATACATATGGGACATATTTCAAACAAGGATGCCTTTTCAAATTGTATGGCAAGGGAATCAAGGGAAAGTTCCCGAAATAGGACTAAAAAAGTTTGAAAATTCCAAAATAGGACTGTCATGTTTTTATTCCCAAAATAGGACTGATTACTGCCAAATTTGGAAAATACTGACATGTTTGAAGTCTGCTACTGCCAAAACATTACAGTAATTAGTCCTATTTTGGGAATAAAAATATGGAAGTCCTATTTTAGAATTTTCAAACTTTTTTAGTCCTATTTTGGGTAATATCTCGGGAATCAATCATTCACTTACGAAATATAAATATGCTACGGTCAACTTTTAAATATAAGTCATGCAATCATTTATTAGCATTCAAAGACTCTTTTTCATAGAGTATTAAGCTATTTTGGACAAGTCATTAAAGTGTGAATGTTTAATCATGCATGGAAAGAGCTTATGTTACATACACGCAAGAAAATATCTTAGCCTTACAACAATGACCTTGGCAAATAGATGACTTATTAAACCAGATGGGCACTTAATAAGAATATTATAGAATTAATTCATGCACCCATATTAGTAAAGCATATGTCAATTTATTCACACGGAACAAAGTATAGTTCTGTCTACCTACATGTTTAGTCATCAACAAAACAACATACTCAACAACCAATCAGCCAGCTGTTCACGTTATCTCTCCAATCAACTTTACACGTGTCACCAAGTAATTAGACCAGTACATTTCTGCTTGTTAACCAAGTAATACATGTGTCATCACCACAATAGAATAACATTTTTTTGTTTATTGGGCAAGTGTTTCTCTTTGTAGTATAAATATCACCTTCCAACTTATGGAAAAGGAGTTGATCTGAATTTTTTTGCGCATAGCTTATTGTCACTTTGCCAGCTTATGGAAATGGAGTTGAATACCTTGAACTTTAAATAAAAAGTTATGTTAACACTATAACTATGCGTTTTTATTATCAAATGTAATTTTGTGGTGTTAAGTATGACTTTAAATTATTGCGCAAATTTCATGGTACTAACTAGAACTGAGCAAAATGATTTGGTTTAATCGAACCACACTAAACCAAAAATCGGTAACAATTTGCTCAAACTGAATGGTTTGGTTTGGTTTAGTTTTGAACCGAAAACCGTAAACCGATCGAAACACTGAACAACTTGTAATATTAATAAAACTACTTTGTATCTGTTTTCACTCGTTATCTTTAGGATATAAATAGTAATTTAGATATGGAAATTACATGTTTGGCATATAATCCGTACCATTTTAACATTTACACATTTGATACATTCATTATGACAAAGTTAGTTAATAAGACATGCTTGTATTTGTTATATTTTATACTCCACGTGTATGAAAAAATGTTTGACGGTAATACTAACCAATTACATTTATACTAGTTTCAGATAAATTAGAGTGCACTTTACATGATTCATTTGAATAGAATTGTAAAATT